ACAAGATTTTAGGAGTCAAAATCGTGTAATCTGACACAGTGACTATCGTGACCGACAAAAATATCGTGTAGTCTGAACCCGGCTTAACACGTGCGTTCTGCGCATGCGTGAGAGGAATTAACTGTCTATATCAGCAGCTATCAATAGTAGGCTATATATTCGTCATTCAAAAGGAGAAACCGAAACAAAGATATACGAGATAAACGCAGATATACGAAACGTAAACAAAGCAGCGCTTGCTTACCATTTTGAATATCAGTAATGTTGATAACTTTAATCATTTTAAGCGGCTCATGTTGTTATGAAAACATTTGCGTATTAGAATGATTGGGAAAGATCACGTAACATTTAAACATCCTTCTGTCTGTACCGCCTTCATTTACCTGCTTGTTTTCATCACTTTCGCTTTAATTCTTGGGCACTGACTCGTTCGCTAAACTGAACATCCAATCAGAGCTCTCACTCGCGCTGACGGCCCCGATGAATCGGGCAAACTGCCGCCGACGAGTGGGACACACCAAACAAACTAGCCCGACCGTCGGCTTGGTGTGTCCCGGCCTTAAGTTTTGGAGATATTCAGTAGTTGCATATGACCACTTTGCTTTATTTGCTATATTTAAAGTGCTAGCAATTTCTAAACCTTGAGGCATAATTTAATATAAAAATGAATAACTGCTTTGTTCAGTGTTCTTAAGCTTGATTGCATTATTGCATTTGTTTTACATTAAATATTTCTCTTCAGTTCCAAGAATCATGCCGTTCATTGACCTCCAGTCAAGGCTGGGTATTAATCTGGACCAGTGGCTCTTGGCTCAGAGCGGGGAACAGCCACAGAAGCGGGTCGCTCGCTGCCATGCCTTTGAGAAGGAGTGGATAGAGTGCGCCCACGGCATCGGCCAGACCCGGGCCAAAAGGGAATGCAAACTGGAGCTGGAAGACTTCTACGAGTGCATGCACCGCCGAAAGACTGTAAGAACATTCGGAAATATTCAAACTATGTATTTGAGATTCTTCACATTACTAACATTATTATCACTCGTTACAGCAACAGCGCTTATATGAGGTCCGTAAGCAGAAGGAGAAGATGATTAAAGAGGGAACTTACACAACCCCTCCACAACACACAGGCAATGAGGAGGCTCGGCCCTGAATCCAGCATCCCCATACAATCACTCTCAACACAGTCATACTGTTGGACAGTTGCTTCCTCACTTATGTATTATAATAATATTGCTGTATCAACATTGTTTAATGTCCGAGAAATAAATAGAATGATTCCATGTAATTGTTATTGTCTGCACACTGACTGTTATTTTTTAGTGTAAATATGTAATACAAGTTTTAAAGGGACAGTTCATTATGTCCCTCTGTCATCACCCTCTGTTTACTCACCCTCGGAGATGGTCCTCACTGCAGAACACAAGATCCAGGGGGCACCTTACATATACCTAAACCTACCATCTCCACCCCCTAGATGTGGATACAACCCCGCCCCCTGGATCTTTGTTCTGCAGTGAGGGGCTACTGTGCACCCTCATGTCATTCCGTGGAACATAAAAGAAGATACTTTGAGTTTTTTTTTGTTTTGTTTTTTTTTGTCCATGCAAGGGAAGTCAATGGTCACCAAAACATTCTTCAAAAATGTCACTGGTAATGTTTCTACTCCATTAAATAATTCCATAATTGAATAGGTTAAAAATAATTCAGTTTTAGATATTCATAGTTTTTTTGAATATTAGAACTTCTCTTTCTTCTTGTGACATGACTGTGTGCTTCCCCAAAAAGTTATTATTAAAACCTAATGCCATATAATGCAGTGGTTCTCAACATTTTTTACTCAAAAACACAATATTCAAAGCCCCCCCCCAACCAATTTAAATAATTTTATGTCGTTCTGTTTGCTGAGGCCCCCTGTTTGAGAACCACTGGTATGTTACATCTGTTTGAAGACTTTAAATACACTTCATTTAAGCTTGAATTCATGCTTCAGTTTGCCTGAGACCATCTGATTATTCGTACTGTTTGATACAGTATACTCAGTCTGGTTTTGAGCCTTAACTGAATGCAACTGTCTTGGTTTGGTTAAGCTTCCCATGGGAAAGCTTAATATGAATACATCAATCCATTTGACACCCCAATCACATTACCAAGCCAAGATTAGTTATTTAGTATGTTGGTCAGTGGGTGGCAGTAACAAACCACTATTTTGAGCTTGAATTGACTTGAATTGTTGACTTAAAACTTATAAATGAGGCATCACACTAGAAACAGCACAACTGGGAAATTACTTTTATACTACTGAGACATTTTTGCAAAATCTAAGCAATAAATGGATGAGTATGGTTCATAAACTGCTTGAATAATTGGATGAATATGGTTCATAAACTGCTTGAATAATTGGATGTATATGGTTCATAAACTGCTAGATATTTCTGTTGAGACGCTAGAACAGCTCTGTCTGAGCAAAGTTCAAATGTAAAGTTGAGTGCACAAGTGGAATGAAGACGTGCAGACCATCACATGGGTTCAGTTTAGCCTGTTTAAGGTTAAAAGCTGGCTCTATACAAATTGACGTCACTGTAAGATCTGGTCATTTTAGATATTGTTGTCTTCACGTGATAATAATCTTACTAGAGTTCAAATTTGGGAAAGAATGTCAACTGGCATTTAAAGCCGGGCTGCTCTTCTGTGATGGGTTTTGTTTGATCAGTCCACCAGCAGCAGTTAATCCTTCACTGTCACACTGAATCCCACTGCAGCTCACTGAGGACAGACAGATTCTTCACTACACATTCATTATGGAATTATACTTTTATTATTTTTATGGGCAATAATGTCATTAGTGTGTTTGAAGGGGGAAATCTTGGAAATGTTAGTGTATATGGCCACATTTATCACAGAGGATCCCTGTTGATAGTCTTAACTGGTTTGCTGGTCTGGTTTAAGATGGTCTCGCAACCTGATCAAGCTGTTCTTCAGCTGGTCTGGTTGCTCTCCCGGTGTCAAACCCCCCCCCTCAAAAACCAGTCAAGAGTCCAGACTGGGAAAGCAGCAAACCATCTAACCATCACTGGCTTCTTTTTCAACAGTGAAAAATACATGCAACTTTTGTCATATTAAAGTTTGTGCATCCTAATGTTGCATTAACAAGAATTTAGATGCAACGCAACCCTTATAATGAATTTCAGATTGAAATATAAGATTAGGCTATTAGATTTAACCGATAGGAATTTTGATTGAATTTGATTAGGCTTGTGTGATTTTTATGTAATGCTCACAATGAAGCATTATTAAAAAGATCATCATCATTAAAGAGGGTTGGGCTTAAGGGTGGATGAGAAAGGAGAGAGTGAGGAAGAGGAGGAGGAGGGGGCCGGAGAAAGAGAGAGCGGGAGAGAAGAAGGGATATGAAAGGAGGGGAATAGACAGCCATTACCGAATCACAGTCTCCATACTGCTCCTCTGTCTGCCGGGTCGGTGCAAAAAACACGGACCGAGAGTCAGTGTTTCTGTGGCCGGCTGAGAGGCGTGTTTGTCGGGATTGAGAGCCGGCGCATCCCCGCCTCTGTCACCCTGCGTGCGGTAACGGGCACTGCCGTTATACGGTAAGAAGGTCCAAATGTCCGTCATGCGACAGCTTCGGGGTGTAGCTATGTGTCTGATAATTATCGTTTTTTATACGTGTGTCACCATTTTCTTAGCTTTTAGTTTGTGTTATAATGTTAACGTTTGAATACTAAACGCTTAAGTATCATGCAAAAAAAACCCTAGATTTACTACAAGCGTCCTCATTTCCATTAATAATCGGGCATCGGAAGTGCTTCTCTCTTCAGGGAGCGAGCCGAGGTGTTAATTTCTCACGTTAATTAATTAGAAATAAAGGTAATGATTTATTCATCTCACGCCTGCATGAATGGGTCTTTATAGACAGCCCGTTATTCAGTGTGTTTGGACAAAGAGGCTCTGCACATCTCTCTCTGTCTGTGGTCACTCTCCTCGGTTTCCGCCACATTACGACCCAACGATGTCTGATGTGTGAACGAATCGTTTTTTGGAGTCGGATCTTTTCAGTGGTTCTGTTGAGCCGGTCCACACAACCGGATCGCATTTTATGGAAAACGTACAAAATGTTAAATGTAAACTATGGTGGTTAGTATAATAATTTTAGTATTGTACATGCAGATATTTTCTTTAGATGCAAATAAGCAGTTTGTGAGCTAAATACACAAAACTGAACACTAATTACGTCATGTCGTAAAGCACAGCTGAATTCGATTCACTGGAATGAACTGTTCGAAAGAACCGATCCGCGAAATGAGTCGGATTTTCCATCACTTTGCAGTAGTAGTGGTATGTGTTGAAAGAAGGGTCGTTTCCAAAGCAAATATGTATGCATCTACGCAAAAGTCTTTCCCTTCAGAAATGGTAGATATTCATTCATGTCTTCCAGAGACGAACAAAAGGCTTGTGCTCAGTGTGTTTACACAATCACAACCATTCCTGGGCTAAAATGTAAAAGTACAGAAGGTTGAGTGGGTAAAGGCTATTTCTACCAGCATCCACAGATGGTTTCCTGCCCTGTGCTCCTGTAGAGATGCACATACATCATGTTTGCCTGCTGTGTGAGTGTAACCATTCTGCTCATTTCAGTTTCTGACATTCCAAAAGATACATTTAGATGCTTTGAAGTTATCAAATCTCATTTTAAAAATTATGGTCCTGCGAGGTTTGGGGCACTAGCCTCTTGCAGTTTTTGCGACATTACCATATAATAATAATAAATTACATAACAGATATTAAAAACAAAGTCACAATTGCAAAATAGAAAGTTGCAATTATAACATTAAAGCTGCATGTGTTCAGAGGTACTGGTAATAGCGCTAATTTCTTCATTGTCAGTGTGTGAGTTTTACATTTCATGTCTGTGATTGCGGCATGTCTTGTGATTTCTCATTTCAGTTTCTGACATTCCAAAAGATACATTTAGATGCTTTGAAGTTATCAAATCTCATTTTAAAAATTATGGTCCTGCGAGGTTTGGGGCACTAGCCTCTTGCAGTTTTTGCGACATTACCATATAATAATAATAAATTACATAACAGATATTAAAAACAAAGTCACAATTGCAAAATAGAAAGTTGCAATTATAACATTAAAGCTGCATGTGTTCAGAGGTACTGGTAATAGCGCTAATTTCTTCATTGTCAGTGTGAGTTTTACATTTCATGTCTTTGATTGCGGCATGTCTTGTGATTTCTTTAACAGACTGTTGCACTAATTAGATCCGATCAAACATTTTATCCAGTAATAAAAAAATGCTACTATCCTTGCAAGCAGGATTGTCTATTTTAGCACTTTACATTTACTGAATCTGTCTCTGGTGCATGGCAAAAAATAGATCAGTGGTTTTCAACTGGTGGGTTGCGACCCAAAAAAAATGGGCCACAGGTCTTTTCTGTGGATAGCGGGCGAAAACGAAACTAAATGAAAGTAACATAATGCAGCTAACCATAGGATAACAATAATACAACCTCTGCATTAGACTACATTTTTTTTATGCTATATTACAACCAAATATTGGATTTGATCTTTTTATCAACTTGTTTTGTCAAGCACAGGTTTTTGTATTTCTTTTTGGAACTGATTGATCATAGGCATTATTAATCTGAACTTATGCACCTCAGTTTTTGAGTGAATATTGCCAAAATTATCATTACTACAAAAAGAACAAATAATTATATATATATTTTTTAGTTCAGATCAATGAGGCCTTCGACCTATCTGTTTCAAAAAGAAATATAAAACCTGTGCTGAAAGAAAACAAGCTGACAAAAAGATTGAATCCAAGATTTTGTGATTTTTTTACAAGCAGTTTTAAAAAGGCTGGTCATTTTTGACTGGGGACAGCAAATCAGGTAAAGGATTTTCAGCACAGCAAAAGGTTTTAAAGGGATAGTTCACCCAAAAATGAAAATTCTGTCATCAACAGTTGACTGTCGCCATTGACTTGTGGAAGTCAGTGGCAAATGTTTGGTTACCAACATTCTTCAAAATATCTTCTTTTATGTTCAACAGAAGAAAGAAACTCATACAGGTTTGGAACAACTTTGGGTGAACTATCCCTTTAAGGATTTTTTGTTGGTCCATACTTGATGTCCAATGTAAAATATGGGCCCTGAAGCAAATCCAATTTAGAGCCCCTAATATACAGTATAAAGGCACAAACTGCTCTAAACATGCTGAATTCTTGGCCACATGATATTACGCCCAGATTAAATGTCATATTTTCCATAAGAACTAATACCTAAATGCCCACAGTGTTCTGAATAATACAAAGCCATTATTTATTGCTATGATAAGCAAGTGTTATTATTGAGTGAGTGTGTCTATAGTGATGTGTCAGTGTTACTCATAGCAGATGCTTCTGTCCTCATGGGTGAATGCACATGAACATATCTTTGCACACATTATATAAACACAGCAAGAGAACAAATGCCACCAGCCTCTGTTCCACAAACTTATAATTTCTCTCGAAGGGAAATGGAGCGGTGCTACAATACTAAGGCTGTTCTGGGATGTGCTTGGCGAACGTTCTGGGAAGCCATACTCTGTACAAATGCAGAGTGCAGACCCAGTTGCACAGAGACTTTAAATCAACACAACAGCTGTCTATCGGAGCACTGGGTGCATTCAGCTGCCATGAACTTACTCAGTGTGGTGGTAAGAAAGAAATGAGAGATGAAATAATGTAAAAGAGAGCAGTAGTTTCCTCCCTTTTCCTTCTCAGGCATAATGACATAGCAAGGTTTTGAATACAGCATTGCCTCTATTTATATCTGTTGGCTGCCACTGAACCACCATGCTGTCAGGCAACAGTGGGATGGCAAAGAGATCTAGCTTCAGCAACATGGTTTTAGTCAACTTAGTCCTGCTTTCGAGAAGCAGTAAAGACAGAGCTCAACATATCTAGTTAAATGCATGGAATGTACACTTTCTGATATATAGAAATTGTTTCCAGGACAGACCTGGCCACATCATATAGAACAATGTTACATTTATGCATTTGACATGACACTTTTATCCAAGGCAACTCACATTGCATTCAACAGTTATCTGTGATAGTGTGATAAGATTTGCGCGAACCATCCCTATGCCGAAGCTGATGGTAAAATGTGTGATCTATATGAATTCTGTTGAGAAATTACCACTTTAAAATGCTATGGAGAAAGTCAAACATTATCTAAAAAAGCACATAAACTAAAGAGACTGATGAAAAGAGGAGAAAACAATCTTGCACCAGCACTAACAAGTGAGAATAAAAGTTACGCCTTCTTTCTTTGCGTGAACATTTGTGCGGCGTTATGCAAATCTTCCCACATCGTGACGTAGACATGTGGGGGCGTGTTAGAACGAGCCGTTTTAGGTAGGCGTGGCTGACTCTGAACTTTTATAAAGAATATATCTTTGGATTTGAGACTTTAGTCTTTGCAACTTTACAGATCTTCTTTATGCACCAAGAGCTTGTAACACTCCAAAGAGAAAGGAAAAATTGAAATCGCATCATATGACCCCTTTAAAATCTTTTTAAACTACTCATGACCACCTTTACTAGAATTTATCATGTTTTATTGTAGGCTTATTTATTATATATGAATATAAAATTACTAAAATATCAAATATCTTTTTTATTTAGCTATTTTTTAAGGAAATAAAAGATAGTAATATTTGATAAAAGTGTTTTTTCCATTGTTGTGGCTAAATATAAAAAAATCACGAAAAATCGTATAAAATATTTATGGTTACACCCAAAACATCCCCTAGGAAAAAATAAATATGTGTGAACCCCCTCCCCCCCTGCTTAATTCGTAGGCTATACCATAGAAAACCCACTCATCACATGGCCTTGGACAACATTCCCGATTGTCCCCCCGACAATGACCCTGGTTCCACCACATTCTTTAAATCAAAGCATTTCTTGAAAATGGTATAAAAGCTTTTAAAATCCATATGAGACCAACACAAATACAGAGCTAACATTTACAAGAATTTGATGTGCATTTTACACTAAATTAAAAAAAAAAATAAAGATATATTTTTACATAATCTTGGACACCCTTTTTTGTTATTAATTTAGATGCTAAAGAAGAATTTTTGCGAATAATAAAATAATTTGAATCAATGGCAATATCTAAATACAGTTGCAATTGTATATATTTTTACACACACACACACATAAAATATACTAAATTAATAGTAAAAAATATTAACATTAAAAAATAAATACTATCTCAGGGTAGCCATAGCTCCTCTAGCAAGCCTTTCATGAATGACGTGAGTAGATTGGACAGGGGAGCACATCTCCAAACAGCTTGCACTGAGCTCACTTGTATTGATGAGTTCAGCTGGTGTGGAATAATGTGACGGACAGGAACCTACTCTAGCCCCCTTGGGCCCCATACCTTCCAGCTGATCACAGAGAAATGCACATCAGAGAGGTCTGGCCCAGCCAAATGCAGTGTCCAATACTGATCAGGACCGGTTTTAATAGTACCGTGACTGAAAGGAGAGTTCGATCCTCCTGCCACTTTTTCTTCTCATCATCATTGTTGAAGTGAGTCAGCGCTGTTCACCTGATCTACAGAAGCATCTGCCTTCATCTCTTTTACTTTCATTTTATTACAGTGTTCAACTGATGTGTTCTCACAAATCCGGCCTTATTTGGTACTCATGTTTTCTGGTATATAGTAGTAGTACGTTGCCCTGTGGGTAATGAATTAGATATCTCACACATTATAGAGTCTCTAACATGCTTCTGTTTCTGTCCTGACCTTATTTCTGTTTCCCTTTTTACCCTGCCACCCCTCATATCCCTCCTCCCAGCCCCCTGGCGAGATGTCTTCCTCGGACGAGGAGAGCCTGAGTGAACGTTCGTGTGTGAGCGAGCGTTCGTTCCGCAGTGAGAGGTCCGGGGGCTCTCTCTCGCCCTGCGCCCACAGCACAGCCGGGCCCAAAGGGGACACTCTGCCATGGAACCTATCCAAACATGAGAGACGCAAGCGCAAGAGCCAAGACTCAGTGCTGGACCCCGCGGAGAGGGCAGTTGTGCGAGTCGCAGGTAAGAGGTTCAACTGTAACACTGAGAAATGTGTGTTCAGGAAGAGTTCTTTAGTATTTAAAGGGATAGTTCAACCACAAATGAAAAGAAACCATTTACTAACCCTCATGTCGTTCCAAAACTGACCTTCTTTCTTCTGAGGAACACAAAAGAAGATTTTCTGAAGAGTGTTTCAACATGTTTGTCCATGTAATGAAAGTCAATAGGATCCAAAACAACAATGGACCCCACTGACTTGCGTTATATGGACAAAAAACACATATACATTTTTTAAAATGATCCCTTTAAGCACAATATTGAAATCACCTTAAATCAGATACATAAATTAGACCAACTTATTGAGCATATGGCCCTTGTTTTGTGCGTCCTGAGTCAATGATTTGATTTAAAGCAATCTGGCAGTTGACTAAAGTTGGAAAGGAGGACATGCAGTGATTTCTAGATACTGTATACATTAGTGTGAGGATCAAGTTCTGTGAAATAAACTGCGATTTGGCTCGTGTGGGAGAAGAGAGGCCAAATGTTGGGAGCTGAACTGTTTTGAGACCCTTTTTAGACACGCTG